ATATATATACTAAATCTAGAAACCACAGTTGACTAATTTGGAAGGAAGGGCTCTATTTCACGACCGTTTCTTGGACATCAGCTCTGCCATCCTTAGATGTTACTCATGGTCTCTGTTGATGTTTTTAACGAGAGTTCTCCAGTGACTTGTCTTTTGTAGGTGAACCTGATGTTAAACGGTAAACCCGTAATATCTGCCTTCGCTGGGGACAAGGACGTTACTCGTGAAGCTGCGACGAATGGAGCCCTTCTCTACTTAGATAAGGAGGATAAAGTTTACCTGAAACTGGAGAAAGGGAATTTGGTTGGAGGCTGGCAGTACTCCACATTTTCTGGGTTTCTGGTGTTCCCGCTATAGAATTTTATTGCTCCATGACATTTATCCAGGTGAGGGGAAGCCCACTCTGAGCGATCTGAAGATGATTTTTGTTTTCTTTCCATCACCAAACTGCTTTCCCCCACCTTGGTTTTTCATGGGTGAATACGGATTCTCTTTAAGGATTCTAGGCCTGACTGAACCCAGTCCCAAGTTTCACAGATTTTTGTGCGTGTGTGTGCGTTTCAGTCTATTTGGATTTAGACCCAAAGCAGACCTATCTGTGCTTAAGTGTAACAATCAAAGCTGTCTGCCAGGTTTCTTCTGAATTTTGTTTCCTGGAATTACTGAATGCGTTGCTAATGTGAAATTTTATTTCTTTGTTTTTAAAAGACTGGCAACTGGGTCTAAGAAGGAGAGAATTCTAAAGTTCTCGCTTCAATTGACCGTTAGTGCGTTATTGCCAAAGAACTGTACCCTGTGTTGATGTATTGACGCTCCTTGTTTTTGCTCTTTTGAATTGGTTTGTTTTGTTCTCCTGAAGTATCTAGGAGTTTTTATGCTTTCTCTACATATCGGGTCATGAATAGCTTGCCCGCTAATTTACTTTGAATTCACCTACATGACTTCCTTAAAGAAAAAAAGAAAAAAAAAAAAAAAAAAGCTTCATAGTTGTATTTTAATTATATATGTGAAAGAGTCATATTTTCCAAATTATATTTTCTAATAGGAAGAATAGATCATAATTCTGACAAGGAAAAAGTTGCTTATTTCAATTCTAAGTGCTCAATCTCCAAACCTTGGCAAAACAGCTCTCCTCCGTGGGAAATTGTAGATCTTATTGCTCAACTTTAATTAACATGATTGATAATAGCCACTTTATTAAAAACCTAAGGGATTTTTTTTCCCTTAGACATGACCACTTTATTAACTGGAGATGGGGTGCCCTTGTTTTTAATTATACCTATTTTTCAAACCTTCTGTTATGTTTGAAGTATCATCTGTTTTTGCCTTAACCCCTTAAATTATATATATTTATTTGTTTAGCTAATATTCAATGCAAATATCCCATATCTAAACTTAGTGCAATATCTTATTTTGTCCTTTGTACTGGTCATATGAATTCACAAAATTATTTATGTCTCTGTTATAAAAATAAAGGTTAATATATGTTAGTTGAATTACTTTGTCCTTTTGGTTTGGGAAATATGTATTTTAAATGATCTATTTCCTCCTTCCTTTTCTTTCTCTTTCTTTTGAGTTCTTTTTCTTCCCCTCCCCCTGGAGTTTAAACGCCACTTTCTGAACTTTCAGGTTGTATTCTCTGAATTGGCATAGGAAATCTTTATTGTGTTTAATCCGCCCAAACTCAAGAGTTGTGAGCTTCCCAAAGAGAATCAATGTACTTTGTAGACTCTTCTTCTGGAAGGATTTATTGTTTGAAAGTTAAATTAAAAAAGAAAAAAAAAAAACAAAAACAGATTCCCCCAAATATCATGAAAATGCTCATTGTATGAATGAGAAGTGATAAGTAAGAAGGCCAATATCTTCAAGCTCAGAGATTTGGAGGAAAAAAAAGAATTCGACCCTTTTCTCAATATTAAAAGATTACATGAACAATGTCAGATTGCTTCCTTTTTTTTTAGGAGAAATGTTATATTATAGATGTCTTACCTGGAGATTTGGCTCAATTTCTATCATCAATTAAAATAGCTTTGGGAGTCAACTTTTCTACCAAGTGGTGGTGGGGAAGGGTTTCGGGGTCCTTTGGGAGAATCCCAAAGCCGTATCTTCTAGTATAATTGTGATTATTCACCAAATCAAAATAATTCAGATTCTCCTGAAAACGAATTTTCTGGAAATGTTGGCAATGAATCCTTGATGTTTTACTTGGCAAGTTATTCTCCAGTTGACTTTCAGTGAAAAACCTTTCCTTCTTTGTGACTATAATGTGGAAAACAGTACTGAACAGGGTACAAAAAAGGGTCCTGGGGTGATGTCATAGGATAAGCACTCAACCTCAAGGTCAGTTTGAACTTCAAAGCCGGTGGTTCAAACTCACCAGCCGCTCCTCAGAAACCTTCTACAGAGTCACTATGCATCAGAACCAACTCGATGGCACTTCACAACAACATCAACAATAAAGGGAGATTTCATCTAAATGTGAGTAGCTTCTTATGTCCCTGTGCCTGCTTTGTCTCATGGTTCTTTATATTCAGAGTTTGTGTCTAGATGTTGCAAAGGGGTAGATTGTATTTGAATACTGTTAGTCATTTCTGAGAAAAATGGTTCAAGACTATCGGAATTCTCAGTAGCCATCTATGATAGGTTAGGAAACATTTTAATGACTACCCAAATAGACCAATGTAGAAATAAGCCTTTTATAAACATTTTATGGTCACCCTTTGGGGGTTGCCCTTGTTTTTCTTGAGTCTTCAGAAGAAAACGAGTTCAATGGTAGCTCCAAAGTGCTCGTGTATACATTCTGGAATGCAAATCTCTTCAAAACCTTCCAGAGAAAAATCTGTTTAGAAAGGCACTTAAGTTCTGATTCTCTATCCTGGTCAGGATGAGGGTCTTAGAAACCTACCCCGACTGGCTCTAGGGAATAGGAGCATCAGTCAGAAAGGATTACTACTGGGGTTCTACTTCAGATCTGCACTGGTTTATTCCAAACAAAATGTGTTTAAGCATGTCTCTGGGATCAGGGGGTGGCTGCAAACAAATTCTCTCCTTTGTCTTTGTTTCATTAGACTGCCCTTAAAACAAAGCCAACCAAATCAGTGACTTCTGTGGCGGTGAGGGGAAGGGGAGCGGGAGAATCTTCTGGACCAATTAAATTCGAGGCAGAGAAGTCAGCTCAGAAGGTTACTGTGACTGTTGGGACTCCAAAGGGATAATGTTTTTATTTATATATATATTTTTAAGCTTCTTCTTCTTTTTTTTTTCTTAAATGTTTTATTGTAAATTATGTGATAGTTTACATGGGAGAACATTAGTTT